TATATTCTCATTTCTCTTGGCTAACAAGGAGTAGGAATGCTACATTTTAAGGTAAGTATAATTCTTAAGAAAGTGCCAAACTTTTCCAAGATGGCTGTACCATTTTACATTCCCACCAGCGATTTATGTGGGTTTAAGTTTCTCCACATTCTCATCAACATTATTCTTTTTTTTTGTTATAGCTCTTATAATGGTATCTCACTGTAGATTTAATCTGATAGACCTACGTTAAAATGACTAAAAATGTTGAACATCATTTTGTGTGCTCATTAGCCATTCATATATATTCTTTGGTGAGTTATCTGTGTGAATCTTTTGCCCATATTTTGACTGGGTTGTCTTCTTTTTTTTTATTATTATGTTATGTTAATCACCATACATTACATCATTAGTTTTTGATGTGGTGTTCCATGATTCATTGTTTGTGCATAACACCCAGTGCTCCATGCAGTACGTGCCCTCTTTAATACCCATCACCGGGCTAACCCATCCCCCGCCCCCCGCCCCTCTAGAACCCTCAGTTTGTTTCTCAGGGTTCATAGACTGGGTTGTTTTCTTCTTATCAAGTTAAAAGAATTCCTTATATACTCTGAAAAAAAAAAGAACTCCTTATATATTCTGGATACAAGTCCTTTATCAGGTATATATGATTAGCACACATTTTCTCTCAGTCTGTGCTTGTGCTTTTGATGTTGTATCTCATAAATCTTTGCCTAACCCAGTAGTTCTCAACTGTGTCAGCTGTGAGGGGAGTTGCTACTTGGGTCTAGTGGTAGAGGCCAAGAAAGCTGCTAAGTATCCTAGAATGCACAGGACAGCCTGCAACAAAAGAATTACCTGGCCCATAAGGTAAATAGTACCAGATTGAGAAACCCTGACCTAACCCAAGGCCATGAAGATTTTCTCCTTTGTTTTCTTCTAAATGTTTGATAATTTCAGCTCTTATATTTAGGTCTGTGATCCATTTTGAGTTCATTTTTATGTATAATGAGGTAGGCATCTAAGTTCATTTTTTGCATATGGATATACAGATGTCTCAGCATCATTTGTTGGAAAGACAAATGGATATCTGGCCCTTTTGAATTATCTTTCCCCTTCATAAAAAAAATCAATTGATCATAAATGTTGAGGTTCTAGCTTTCTTTTGATTGGTGTCTCAATGATACATATTTTTTTCAATAATTTTACTTTTAAATTACTTGTATCATTTGAAGAGAGTGTTTTTGTAGGTAACATATGGTGTTGGGTCTTTTTAATCCATTCTGACAACTGGTGTGTTTATACCTTTTACAGTTAGCCTAATTATCGGTATGTTTGGATTTGGGTCCACTGTTCTAATTTGCCTCCTTTTCCCCCATTTGTTGCCTTCTTTTAAATTAACTTTTTTTTTTTAGTATTCCATTTTAATTTATCTATTGTGTTTTTGGCTCTGTCTTTTGTATTGTTTTTTTAAGTAGTTTCTCTAAGGATTACAATGGACATTAACTTTTCAGAGTCTATGTAAAATCAATAGTTACCACTTAAACTGTGGTATTGAAATCTTAATTCTGTCAGTCTCATTACTGTCCCCCTTATGTTGTAGTTATTTTATATAATCTTACGTATATTGGAGAAATCCTTAGACAATGTTATTTTTGCTCTCAATTATAAACATACAGCTGTACCTCATTTTATTTTGCTTCACTTTATTATGCTTTGCAAATATTGCGTTCTTTACAAATTTGAAGGTTTGTGGCAACCCTGTGTCAAGCAAGTCTATTGGCACCATTTTTCCAACATTTGCTCATGCTGTGTCTCTGTGTCAATTTGGGTAATTCTCACAATATTTCAAACTTTTTCATTATTATATTTGTTATGGTTATCTGTAGTCAGTGATTAAAACTCACTGGAAACTCAGATGATGGTTGGCATATTTTAGCAATAAAGTATTTTTTAATTATGTAGATTGTTTTTTAGACATATGCTATTGCACACTTAATAGTGTAAATATAACTTTTATATGAACTGGGAAACCAAAAACTTTGACTCGCCTTATTGTGATATCACTTTATTGTGATGGTCTCGAACTGAATCCACAGTATCTTCAAGGTATGCCCATATTTTAAAGAACTGAGAAAAATAACTTATTATTTGTATTGAGATTTTTACTATTTGTTGTTTTTCATTCATTCCTGATGTTCCCAGCTTCCTTCTAACATCATTTTCCTTCTGTCTAAAGAATTAGAACACATTTTCTGTCAATGAAATGACTTCTTTTAGTCTTCTTTAATCTGAAAATTTTTTTGGATCTTATTCCTGAAGTATAATTTTTGATATAGAATTCTGATTTGGCAGTTCTTTTTAGTGCTTAAAAGTGTTATATCATATCCTGACTTCTGTGGTTTCTGATCAGGAATCTGCTGTCATTTGAATTTTTCTCTTATAAATTTTCTCTGGCTGCTTTCATATTTTTTCCTTTTCTTTAATTTTTAGCAATTTGATTAAGACAGGTCCTAAAGTGAATTTCTTTGGGTTTATCTTATTTTAGGCTCACTGAGCTTTTTGAATTTGTCAGTTATGTCTTTTGGCAAACTAGGGAAACATTCATCCATTATTTCTTCAAGCATTTTTCTGCACCACACTTTTCTCCTCTCCTGGGATTCTAATGACATAAATATAAGACCTTTAGTATTGTTCCACAGGCCCCTGAGCTCTCTTTATTTTTTCAAAGAGGTTTTAATTGAAGAAAGTTTAATCAATCTCTTATGTTGTTCAGTGCGTGTGTGTGTGTGTGTTTTTTCCCTATGAATTGGTCTTTAAGTTCACTGACTTTCCTCTCTCATCTTCATTTTGATTGATTGATTGATTTATTTTACTATTATGTTATGTTAATCACCATACATTACATCATTAGTTTTTCATGTAGTGTTCCATGATTCATTGTTCATGCATAACACCCAGTGCTCCACGCAGAATGTGCCCTCTTTAATACCCATCACCAGGCTAACCCATTCCCCTCCCCTCCTCCCCTCTAGAACCCTCAGTTTGTTTTTCAGAGTCCACAGTCTCTCATGGTTCATCTCCCCCTCCGATTTCCCCCCCTTCATTCTTCCCCTCCTGCTGTCTTCTTCTTTTTACCAGGCATTGGTGGTTCAGTGGTAGAATTCTCATCTTCATTCTATTTAGTCCATTTTGATTTTGTGTTTTTTAGAATTTTCATTTGGTTCTTCTTTATAGCTTCTCTTTGTTAAGACTTGGTCCTTCCATTTGTTTTAAGAACATCCATGTGTACTTTAGTCTCTCTTATGGAAATTTCCCCTTTTGGAAAAAAGGAAAAGCTCCTGATATTCAGCCTGTTTGTTTTCCTTCCTCTCAGAGAGTCAGGTGCAGAATACACAAAATAAAAATCTGGTTACTTAGATGAATGGCAATGTACTGTGTTCATATGGCTAGAATGATTGCTTTGGCTAATTTTTCTCATTTTAAGCTTGGAGAGAGAGCTAAACATAGGGTTCAGAGAGCTGGGCATGCATGTTGCCTCTGCTAATTTCTAGCACTATATTACAAGTCTCGCCACCTCTCTGGGCTGCATCCTCCAGGGGCTGAATGGATCTCTGAGCCACTTTCCTGCTTTTCTAGCATTCTAGGGCTGTCTGTTCTGTAGGGCATGGAAAGCACCGTGTGCATTTGTCCTCTGGCTATTTCCCCCCTGCCCTTGTTTGGTCTTGGGACAATGATGGAGACTGTTTCGTGATATTACAGTAATTTTAAGAACTTTAGAATTCTTAGAAAACAGGACCACCATTGACCAAACACCCACTGGAAGCAGCAAGATTTAGTCTTGTGGGAAATTGTATGTTCCATATATCATATGGATGCTAACATCTCTCTTCTAAGGATGATATAACTCTCTTCTGTCAGACAGGCTGCATACCTGCCAGTTATGGCAAGCCCTTTTTACTGCAGTTTACCAAGGTCTGCCCAGCCTCTTTGTTCTAGCCTTGGCAGGCCCTCTTTTATCTGCTCTGGGATGCTCTGCCCCTCTACTACTGCTTTTCTTTCCTTTCCCCAGCTACTTCAGCTCTCGGCTGCTGCTGTGGACAAAGGACGCAGCGTAGGTGAGGTCCTGCAGTCAGTGCTGCGCTATGAGAAGGAGCGACAGCTGGATGAGGCGGTGGGAAATGTTACTCGGCTGCAGCTGCTGGACTGGCTGATGGTGAACCTGTGATCAGCGCTTACCTACTGCTTTCCCCTCTTCCCCTCCCTTCTTACTTCCACAGCTCCCCTCTCCATATCCTTAAAGAGCCCTAACATTATCTTCATACCACTCACATCAAAGACATGTCATCTTATGCTAGTCACTGGATTTTGCAGATTTTCCTGTCCATGCAAGCAAGGACACAAAATTAAAAAAATTACAATTAAAGGGCTCCAGGTGTTTGGTTTCCTTGGGATCCAGTGGGAAAATAAGGTGAAGAAATTTCAGGAATTAAAAAAATAATCAGATGGATAGCAGAAGAAAAATAGCGCTGACCTGAGAGGCCCTGGTTAAGGTCATACATCCTGTTTCTAATGTATCTGATCTGTGCCACAACTTGAAGATCCCCTGCCTTAAAGTGTTCCTAAGAATAAGAAGCCACAATTTATTTTAGCATTTATAACCATTCAAATCACAAAATATTTTCTATTCAACCTAAATCATTCAAATTATGATATTGAGGACTTGGCTTCTTCTCTTCTCTCTGGGGAGTTGCAGAACAATTGTCTCCCTCAACTTTATCCACGGTTGAAGATAGCTAGTGTCAAAAAAAAGTCCAGAGGACCTGAGTTCTATTGCCAGTTCTATACTTTTCTGGCTATAGGACCCGGGACAAATCACCTGTTATGGCACTTCTCTCATTTAGTGTCCATATCTCCCCACTTAAGAGGCATTTTTTTTCTGTTCTTATCCTGACCTTTCTATGGAATTTTATATTTTTCATCTTTCTAGAAACTTTCTCCTTTGGTTTCTAATTTTTGGGTTTTTTTTTTTTTTCATCTCTTGGGGGCTCTATTTAAGTCTGTTATCCCCTGGCATATTTATCTTTCCTACTTTCTTTTGACCCTCTGCTGTTCTCATTCTGTTTCACCTTTCCTGGGTGATCTTCTCTCACCCCATTGCTTCAATTATCCGGTGTCTTCCTTCATGAAATATTACACAGTAATTGAAAACTATAAAGCCATGTATATTTTCCATGTTGTTTATGAGGTTATGATCTTAAGTTTCTTATAAAATTGTATCTATTCTATAATTACAATCATATAGAGATTATGTATTCATACAGAGAAGGACTAGAAAGCCAAATGAGATTTTGAGGATGGTGGATGAGTGAATATATCCTGTTGTTTACTTAGCTTCCCCTCCTTTGGGAAATACTCTGTCCCCTACTCCATGGTGCTACCATCATCACAGTGTGGGCCTGTGACCCAGCCTATCCAATCACAAGATCCCAATATCTCAGACATAGTGCTTGGTTCAAGTCCAGTCATTTCTGAGACTTTCCTACCAGGACTGCATCTTTTGACAGGATACTGGTGGTCACTTTAACTTCTGGGCAGAGCCTGTCTTTAGAATGAAAACCACAAAAAGAAGCAAGGCTAATAGGTAGAGAGGGAATCTGAGCCCTATGACCTTGTCTGAATTTTTAGACTCCACAGTGCCTGAAATCACACTTATCCCTCCTGATTCCTCAATTACATAAACAAATAAATGTCCTTTGGTGCTTAAGCTAGTTACAAGCTAAACTCAAACTGGTTTTTCATTTTCATTTTCAAACAAGAATCCACAGGTCAGCTGTCTTGGGGAAAAAGAAAATAAAAAAAATATTCAGAGTTCTATTAGTGATGCTATGACATTGAGTACTTGCCCCTCCGCCCCCATATACACACATCATTTGTGCAAGAACATTCTCTCTCATCCCTCATAATAGGAATCATGCTAACTGGCCATGTGAATAAAGTTTTTTTTAAACAAACCTTTATGCATTAAAAAAGAACAATCTGAAATATTGTAGAATGTAAGTGCTGTCTCTAATACAAATCATTGGTGGAAAGGAACAGGACACACCTTCAGCAAAGGTCATACAATAGGTGGTAAAATATTCACGTTCTTGGGTGAGGAGTTTTTACTTTGTTTTTCTGGGGAGGTCTTGGACCCCTCTGGTCCAACAGCTGCCTCTGGCTTTCCGGAAGCTTCTGTTAGTTGAGGCAGCTGGACAACTTCAGCTGCATGCTGCAGAGAGCCCTGCTGATCACCCGAATTCTGAACCTGCTTGGTGGTGCCACCTTTTATTTTGTCTATGGTCTCTTCTTTGGTGATCACCTCTGCCGAAGGAGAGAGAAGACAGAAGGAACAAGTGTTCAAATGTGAATTATATTCTGTCCATTTGACTGTAAATTACTTTGGGAAAATCCTGGTTGTAATGATATAAAAACACATTCTATGTGCTTTACAGATGAATAATGCCTGTAAGCACTTTACATTTACTAATTTCTTTGATCCTTTCTGCAACCACAGAGATAGGCATTATTCTCATTCTCATAAATGAAAAAACTGAGACACAGAGAGGCTCACTGAATTGCCCAAGGGCCCACACGTGGTAAATGGTAGAGCCAGAATTTAATCCCAAGCAACCTGACCCTAGTGACCATGAACAAAACCATGAGGCTATATTGCGTATAAAAGATATCTGCATAATGCCATAATCTGATAAAAATCCAAAAGGTAAATTATAGGTCAGGCAGAGGAGGACACGGTGAAAGAAAAGGAAAGGAGGAGAAAGGGAATTGAAGACAGGAGAAAAGTGGAAATTCCTAATTATAAAGGGGCAAGAAAGAAGCAAACCCAGCTAGAAGGAAGTCTCCTGAAAGAGGCTGAATCTCAAAAGTGAGAAATGACAGGCTAGTAGTGATGTAGTCAGAATAACTATCCACGGTTGAGTTCAGAGAAACTGACATGAACCCTCCAGAGATACCTGAGCACCAGACTACAGGAAGAGGACTGGCTATTTGAGGGGCTGTACCGCTTATGTCCAAGTGATGATGCCCCGGAACCTTGGCCTTCGGAGCCTCAGAAGGGAGACAGAGACTGGCTTTCCTCAGGGTCTGGGGCCTGGACCGTGGTTTGAGATTCCGTGGCTCATGAATCCAAGAATGCTTGAGGGCCTGGTCGGGCGTCATGCGAAAAGAAGGTTCCCATCTATATACCAACAAAGCCCAGCACGGGTTATTGTTTTGCTTCCCTTTCTAATGTTGAAAACATTTAAAAAGACACTAATAAAGAACCTAAATGGGATATAATAAAAATAGTTCATTCTTAAAGAACCCATTTAAACCATGTTATAACTCAAAGATATCATAATAGAACAGAGATTACAACATATAAAAGTACCTGGAAACAACTCTGAAAATAATCTTTTTAGGAAATTTGCATGACAAATCAGGGAATATATTGGAGCCCAAGTCTTCTAGAGTTCCTAGAATTTCCCTCCCAAGAAATATTATAGAAAATCTTAACCATGGGGACTTAGAGGTCAATAAACTAAGATCAAAACAAAGAGATGCTTAATTTCAAGTTCCAAACTACAAAATCTGGGCCTTCAAATATATCACACACAAAATTTACAGAGTGTTAGAATATTAATATTATAAGGAGATTTGCGTATAATCCAGCCAAACATCTAATGCAGTAACAAAAGGCATCTGACAGAACCTTCAACATGGAATCATCCTGCCATTCTTGAGTTATTTTTAGTGACAAGGTGCTTAGTCACAGAATTAGCTATTCCAATCCTGATAAAACCAATTCTTTAAAAGTTCTTTGTTTTTACTGAGCCAAAATTCACTAGGACTTTTACACTAGTAACTTAGACCCAAGTTCTAATTTTACCCATTAACATTACAGTAGTCCCCCCTTACCTATAGGGTAATACATTCCACCCCCAGTGGATGCTTGAAGCCACAGATAGTACAAAACTCCACATATACTATGTTTTTTCCTCTACATACATACCTATGATAAAACTTAATCTATAAATTAGGCACAGTAAGAGATTCACAGTGAGAACTAATAATGGAATAGAACAATTATAACAATATACTATAATAAAAATTATGTGAACGTGGTCTCTCCCTCTCAAAATATCTTCTAGTGCTATACTCACCCTTCTTATGACGTGAGATGATAAAATGCCTACGTGATGAGATGAAGTGAGGTGAATGACAGATCCAGTGTGATATAGTGCTAGGCTAGTACTGACCTTCTGACAAGACATCAGGAGGATCATCTGCTTCTGGACTGCAGTAGACAGTGGGTAACTGAAGCCGCAGAAAGCAAAACCATGGGGGGGGGGCGGCTACTGCATACAGAATGAGACAACTAATCTTTTATGTCACAATCCTCCAACTATCCAAAAACATTTACATTACTACTACGTGTTGGTCATATAATAAGGTTGTCACCTTCCTAGATAGGAAATTTCAGCTGTTGTGTTACGATGTTCATCATGCTGGGAATAGCTTCTAACTGCAGGCAGATGGCATTAATATTCTAGATTTATAAGGTCGTAAACAACTCAAGCTCCCAGTTCTTTTTGAAATGAGCTGCTGCTAAGCTATAACTCCCCTCTCCTTACTTTCTAAAGTTGGCCTATAAAAGCTTGACATAGGACTTTACATTTGCCCCTATTAAATTTGACTCAAAATTTTTAATCTGTCATTCCAAAAATTTGTTAATTAGCAAAAAAAAAAAAGGGAATGATACGAGAATACACCCCATTAGCTTGATCACCTCTTGCAAGTTGTGAGCAACTAGCCTTTTGCCCTAAAAAAGAGAAAAATTTCTTTCTTGGTTCTGAGCTGTGTTCTGGATGGTTGGGGTTTCTGGACAACTCACCTCAGTCTCAGTAGTGAGTCTCTGTCACTTGCTAATGCACATTCATTCTGTGGCCTCAGCCAAAGGCTGGGGCAGGGGGATGGAGATAATGGTAAAACATAGGATCCTTCTCTAGCTCCATTCTTCAAATGAGTAGCATGACCCTCTAGATGGAAAACTTCCAGCAGTATTTGATGGCCTATCCTCTGAGCTAGTACCTAAATTCCCAGAGTGCACAAATACAAGAGGAGTATTTTGCTAAAACTACTCCATCCCGCTGGAAGAATGAGAGAACATAAACATATGGTTTCGAAAATACTCAACAATTATAGGACTGATAAAGCTAAAGACACCTTAGGAATACTTCATTATATAGAAAAGGAAACTGAGGCCCAGAGAGAGGCAATAACTGACCAAATATCATGTGGCTAATCTATTTGCCATTTAGTGGAGACACACTTGCAAAACCTCTTTTAAAAGAATGACAAGAGCTAACATTTTTGAAACACTAGGCATTGTTCTGAATGCTTTATGTACTGTTCCTTTTTTTTACTACGACTTGACTGAAGTACAGAACCTAATTTCTAAGAGTCAAAATTAGCATATAGATTCCAAAAAGCTGTACATAATAAATGGCTTATAAATCATCCCTTCCCTAATCCTTTAATTTAGGCTGTAAATCCCAGGGGAATGGGGAGGGACTCAGAAACCACATACTGGGTGGTATGCAAACAGTTACAACATGCAAGAGGTTGACCTCAGTTCCTGAAGAAGTTATTTAGAACTGACCTTCAACCTTGCTGCCAGGCAGTTTGAGGCCAAGACGTCAAGCCCTACCCACACACTAATCCAGGGCAAGTCACTGAACCTCAGCTTCCACATCTCAAAACGGAGCAAATCATCTGCCCTTCTAGTCACACAAGAATGGAAGAGAACAGTCTCATGAGGAAAAGCATTCTACAGACTCTCAAGCCCTGTGGTCAGTATCTATTATTATTTTTATAACTATGTCCCAGCCCCAGACTTTCACCAGCAAACATGTGGGAAAATACAGTGTTTAAGAGGAAACCCAGAGGCAGAGACAACCCTGCAAACTCACACCAAACACCTTCTGAGAAAGTCCAGGAAGCTGGTGTCGTAGGTTTTCAGCACCATCGTGAGATCCTTAGAATCCGGGTATCTTTTTTTCCCCCTGTTGTTGGTCATATTTTTAGGAAAACCTTTGGAATCTTTAGAGATACAACATTCTGTTTAGTTCCAGGTGTTAATATACATTGGTCACATCATAGCCGTTCACTCAACCATGCTGCTTCTTGGAGTGGTCTTTGCAGCTCTAGTTTTGTCCTACACCACCCCCCTCCCACACACACAAACATGCCCTCCATCTCATTCAGATGGAAAGAATCACATGTAGATTATCCAATGAATGCAATTAACCTTTACAAACACTTTCCCCCCCTATTCAGTATGTTCTGAGCCTCCTTCCCACCTCCTCCTCCCAAAATCAAATGGCTTAACCTTAACCAGGGTAAAATAATAATGATAAGGAATAATAATAATAAAAAAAATAATAATAAATCTGAAGTGACAAAAACATTCAGCTCTGAACAAAAAAAGATGTTGTCTACTCTTGGATTATCTATGCCCTTGCTCCTTTCCCACTGACCCAATATAATAATTTGGAACATCCCTGAAGTGTAACAAGAAAGTCATTGTAGGAAAATCATCTGCTTTCAGAACTCATTTACATGCCACACAAGCAAATTAATCTCGTTACTTTTTTATAGTCACATGAAAATTTTATCCACAAATTGGAATGATTAAACTTGCTTTGTTGCTTAAGACCACAGCTTGGAAATGACTTCCTTCAGTCATTTTGACTGATTAACACTCTCACCAAATGTATTTATCATGCCTGGAAAGAAGCCCTGAAGACAGCTCCAGAGGTTTCTCTAGAATATTCTGTGCAATGCTTTGAAGGTGAGGCCACTCATTTGGACATCATGTTCAGAAAAGATGACCACTTATGCTCACACCTTGTAAATCTGCATATGGATGGATGTGAATATACACACACAATTTACACATTAAAAAATTCTCACAAAAACTCAGTGGGATTCACATGATGGACATCTGGAAGGTGCATAATGAAGCCCTTCTATTACTTTTTTTTTTTTTTTTACCAAATGAACCACCCAGGTGTCCCAGTGTTTTCTTTTTTTTTTTTTAATTTTATTACGTTATGTTAGTCACCATACAATACATCATTAGTTTTTGATGTGGTGATCCACGATCCATTGTTTTCGTATTACTTTTATAATTAATGCAATATGTGGGGCCTCAAAGAAAAGATCTGCTCACACTGAATTCCTATAAGAGACCCTGAATGTGTGTATGTGTATTTACAGACATAAAAATGAGTTGGGAGTATTGCATAGGGTATAGGTACTGTGAACTCATACAAACCCCGTTTCCTTTTTGACTATGGCACCAGTGCTCCCATTTGATCCTATGTTGCTATTTTTACAAATGACTGAATAATCAGACTCACAGGCTTATAAATAACAGCTTCTAAAGTCATCATTATGTAATTGTTTTTCTTGTACAAGTTTTTCTCACCCTCTCTGACGCTCCTCAATATTTAATTAATCTCTCCATCTCCTTCTTGTGACCTGGAGCACCTAAGCATCTTAGTGCCTTTGAAGCAACATCACTTTGCTGCTAATGAGGGGTATAAACTACAAGTGGCTGGGGGTTGAAGAGCTGTTGGCAGCCCAAATCTGGGGAAGGGAGAGCCAATAACTGAGGTGAACATAGTGTTTCTCAAACTTATCATAAATATCACAAATATCTGTTGTCAAAAACATACAGACTCCTGCATCCCACCTCAAATCTGCTATATCATAGGTTACACAGGAAGATAATGGGAATTAACATTTTTGTCAAGTCCCCAACTGATTCTTATAATCAGACAAAGTTTGGGAAATGCTGAAGAAGATGCAGATCCCAATAAAGTCCTTTCTTATGCAGGAAGTGAAGACATCTGGATGTTGCTACCAAAAACGCATCATTATTCTAAAGCCTCATGCTGATGGTAAAAACCAGTACTCTATGAACCAGACCCTCTTACCAAGATGCCCTATATTCCTTTCTTCTTAGTGCCCCCCAGAACATAAAATCTTAAATTCAGTGTTATGGGCTTAAGATGTGACTTTTCCCACCATGTCTTTGTCAAGAGGGAATACCAATTTCCCTACTTTTCTTTCCCTAAATCCTTTGAAATCCAGAAGGCTAAATTAAAAGTGGTGGATGGTAAAAGCATATCTGGGTTTAAAAGACCAGTTCCATTGCTCTATGTATGTTATAAAAACAAGTCAGCTAAGATCTTCCTGCCTGCCCCATCAGACTGCTCTAGAAGAAGGGTTAGTGCATGGGCACTGTTGTAAGGCAGCCAGGACACTTACTGTGCCCACAGGGAAGGTCTTCAAAGCTCCAGCCATGACTACAAGATGATGTCTCAAAGATTTAACCATTGGAATGGCATGGGACTAACCAATCAGAAAGGATGATAGCTTTGGTACTGAAACAGAGTCATGGAGGACCCTCAGCTTGCCAGGCCTTAAACTTGTAGTTTCTGGATACTGGGGAGTCCAACAGGTCCTGGGAAAGGGACCAGGGAACCTGTAGCTGTGGCAGGGGCTTTTTACCAAATGGTGCAGGAGTAGATTACATTTTAACGCTCACATGACTGAACTAATGTATACTGACTGACCACCAACATGACTAAAACCGTCTTGTCCAGGAATCCCCCATCAGGGTATTTTTAACTCTTACGTATGGGGCAAGCTGTGGAGAGAAAGTAAGGGATTTGCCCCTATTTTGAAGGCACTCTTGGGTGGAAATAAGAGGTGAGAGGGCTAGGAATGATGGATATTCCATAGCCAATAGAAGCCTATGAACTATCCCGATGGGAATGGGTGGTCAGAAATGTCATTCCAGATGGTGCAGAGCCCCTTTCTGTGGAGTCCCCTTTCCTTCATGTCTGGCTTCACTCCACTTGGGCCGAATTTCTGGTCACTATGGATTTTCTACAAAAGAATCCCTTAGGTTCTTGTGGCTCTTTAAAAGGATTTTAGATATGAGACCGACTTCATCTATTTGGTGCATAGTGCCCTGGAAGCCCTGCCTCAGTTGGACCTTGTTAATCCACCTGTCCATCTCGCACAGCACCAAAGAGAAAGGAAGAGGATCAGAAAATCCAGAGCCTGGAAACTGTGATGGAGGTTGGGCAACATGGGGCCATCAATGAAGCTTAATTCCAGCAATTAGGTAGCTGTCCTACACATAACTGGCAAGCCACAACATATCGACAGCCAAACTATTCTAACAGCTTTATTTACCCATTTTATAGCAAAGTTGCTATGATTCTGGCATAGTAAAGATTTGGAGGATTAAGAGAATTTCAGCAGGAAAGAATGATGCTCCATTAATGATATAATGTAGCAAAGAAATTTCCCACCATTCTTAGAAGCTTCTGTTCTTTGATTTCTCTGCACAGTACATAGTACGAAGGGGCAAGCTGCTTGCAGGAGAAAGGAGAATTTACAGGAAAGGGCATAGTTATAAGCTTCCAAGTTTCAAGATCTGCTGATGGATCTTCTGAGCAGAAACCTTGTCATTTTTATGCCAAGACCTCCTTCCCAATGTGACTCCCCCATCCCATCTCCATCATGCTTTCTGGTACCACTTCTCAGCAGTTTTTTACTTTTCTAGCAGAAGCTCCTCATCACAGCTTGCCCTTTGGGATGGGCCCAGGCAAGAGCACTGAATGAGGTTTAGGTATGGTAGGTATCTCCAAGGTCTATAAGACTTCATCATCACAATGGGAAAAAGAGCATTAGACCTGGGGACTTACCAAAGAATGTCTGTCTCCTGGAGGCCCTCTGAATGAAGTGGGTTGGTGGCAGGCCCAGCACCTTCAACAAGTACAATGCAGTGGGTTCACTCTTGTGGAGTCACACATTAGAGCTGGATGGGACTTTGGCCAAATTTTGCTTCTAACAGATAAGGACCCGGGGATATTAAGTGATAACCTCAAGCCAGTGATTTTAGGCCAAAAGCATGGGTCTTCTGACTCCTAATTTAGAGCATTTGCAGTATTCTCAATATCAGCCATGTTATTTTAAATAAGCATTAAGACCAACTAGAGGTAGCCTACTTTAAATGGCAGCCAGATCTCAGTGTCAGAATAAATAAACCAGTGTACATGCTGACCACCCTTGAATTAAGGAATGACATATCCCAACTCTGGGAGGTGGAAATCACCAGATGGGCATCAGTCCTCTATATGACAAAAGAGAAGAAAAGTGTAGCACCTACTTATTCACCTTTACCCACTGCAGCCTATAGGGATGTACAGAAACAGAGAAATTACAGGTGTCCTCAGCCCTAGGTTACCTATCCCTGCAGCTGGATTCCCAGCCACATCCATGCACAGCCCTATCCTCCTCCTCCTCCTCCTCCTCCTCCTCCTCCTCCTCAGCCTCAGTGACACTGAGGTCGGGAGGAAGCTGAATCAGTTCTGGGCCGGAGGGGACCTCAACCCAGATCCCATGCTCCTCAATTCTTCTTGGTATTGGAAACAGGGTTGCTTCAGGAATGCTTCATTAAATCAGTCATCATCAACCTTAGAAGCCAAGTACTCTGATCATCTCATTTTACAGAGATTCAGAAGGGAGAACTGACTTGCCCAAGAGAAAGGGCTGGGACTAGACTCCATGTTTACTGATTTCCAGGCCAGTGTTCATTCCATCATAGATATCATTTATAGCTATTATTACATAAATTATTTTAATACTTATTAGTTTCAACCATGAAATGAAACTATGTTTAATAATTCTCAAGGGTATGTGTGTGTCCCTCTGACCATCTATAACTTTGAGTCGATCTGGAAAATAGAAATTTGGGATGGATAGATAGATAGGTAGATAGATAGAGATATTAGATAGATAATGAGAAAGACTAAGATATATATATATACATATATACACATATATATACATACACACACACACACACATAGAGAGAGAGAGAGAGAATATCTTCGTTCACAGTCAAAATATTTTTGTTCACTGGTATAATCCTAAAATGTGAAATTTCTAATTTTTTAGGGTTATTTTCTCCTGTTTTGTCTAATTTAGCTCCATAATACGATGCCTTTAAGAATAATACATAATAAATAATCATACAATGAGTCTTGGTAAAGCTTTTTTATTGGAAAATATTCTTTCCAAAAAGTCAGGATAGTGAATGACTAATGACTGAACAATACATAGATTTATATAGGTGTCATCTCTGGTTTTTAGATATTTCTGAGCACATTTGAAAGACTGGTATAACAGTTTCATTTTAAAATGTCACAAAAACAGACATATAGACCAATGGAACAGAATAGAGAGCCCATAGAGTTGGACCCTCAACTCTATGGTCAAATAACCTTTGACAAAGCAGGAAAAAATATGCAATGGAAAAAAAGTCTCTTCAATAAATGGTGCTGGGAAAATTGGACAGCTATATACAGAAGAATGAAACTTGACCATTCTCTAACACCATACACAAAGATAAACTCAAAATGGATGAAAGACCTCAATGTGAGACAGGAATCCATCAAAATCCTAGAGAACATAGGCAGTAACCTCTTCAACATCAGCCACATCAACTTCTTTCAAGATACATCTCCAAAGGCAAGTGAAAATGAACTTTTGGAACTTCATCAAGATAAAAAGCTTCTGCACAGCAAAGGAAACAGTCAACAAAACAATGAGGCAACCCACAGAATGGGAGAAGATATTTGCAAATGACACTACAGACAAAGGGCTGAGAGCCAAGATCTATAAAGAACTTCTCAAACTCAACACCCAAAAAACAAATAATTCAAGTCAAAAAATGGGCAGAAGACATGAACAGACACTTTTCCAGAGAAGACATACAAATGGCCAAGAGACACATGAAAAAATGATCATCATTAGCCATCAGGGAAATTCAAATCAAAACCACACTGAGATACCACCTTACACCAGTTAGAATGGCAAAAATTGACAAGGCAAGAAACAACAAATGTTGGAGAGGTTGTGGAGAAAGGGGAACCCTCTTACACTGTTGGTGGGAATGCAAGTTGGTACAGCAACTTTGGAAAACAGTGTGGAGGTTCCTCAAAAAATTCAAAATAGAGCTACCCTATGACCCAGCAATTGCACTACAGGGATTTACCCCAAAGACACAGATGTAGTGAAAAGAAAGGCCATATGCACCCCAATGTTCATAGCAGCAATATCCACAATAGCCAAACTGTGGAAAGAGCCGAGATGCCCTTCAACAGAAGAATGGATAAAGATGTGGTCCATATATACAATAGAATATTACTGAGCCATCAAAAAGGATGAATACCCAACTTTTACATCAACATGGATGGGACTGGAGGAGATTATGCTAAGTGAAATAAGTCAAGCAGAGAAAGTCAATTATCATACGGTTTCCCTTATTTGTGGAACATAAGGAACAGCATGGAGGACATTAGGAGAAGGAAGGGAAAAATGAAAGGGGGGAATTGGAGGGGGAGACAAACCATGAGAGACTATGGACTCCAAGAAACAAACTGAGAGTTTTAGAGGAAGGGGGTTGGGGGGATGGGTTAGCCCAGTGATGGTATTGAGGAGGGCATATACTGCATGGAGCACTGGGTGTTACATGAAAACAATGAATCGGGGAACACTACATCAAAAACAAATGATGTAATGTATGGTGATTAACATAACATAATTAAAAAAAAAACTAATGATGTACTCTATGGTGACTAACATAACATAATTAAATTAAATTAAATTAAAAAAATTAAAATAAAATGTAACTATTCTAGCAGAAAGAGAAATTAAGAAAATAATTGCACCAAAATAATATCTAAGAATAAACTTAACCAAAGAGGTAAAAGAGCTGTACTCTGAAAACTCTAAAACACTGATGAAAGACAATGAAGATGACATAAACAAATGGAAAAATATTCCATGTTCATGGATTGAGAGAACAAATATTGTTAAAATGTCCATACTACCCAAAGCAATCTACAGATTTAATGAAATCCTTACCAAAATACAAACAGCATTTTTCACAGAGTTAGAACAAATAATCCTTAAATTTCTATGGAACCACAAAAGACCCTAAATAGCCAAAGCAATCTTGAAAAAGAAGAACAAAACTGGAGGTATCACAATCCCAGATTTTAAGATATACTATAAAGGTGTAGTAATCAAAACAGTATAGTGCTAGTACAAAAATGGACACATAGATCAAAGGAACCAAATAGAAAGCCCAGAAATAAATCCATGACTATATGGTCAATTAGTCTTTGATAAAAGACGCAAGAATATGTAATGGAAAAAAGACAGGATTATACCAGTGAACAAAGACATGTGACTATGAACAAAGATCTAATCTCTCTCTCTCTCTCTCTGTCTCTCTCTCTATAGATGATAGATGATAGAGAGACAGATGATAGATAGATAGATAGATGGATAGATCTATCTATCCATCTATCTACCTACCTACCTATACATCCATCCATCCCAAATTTCTATTTTCTAGATCGACTCCAACGGTGCTGGGAAAACTGGAGGAATGCGATTTTGCCATTTGCAACGACGTGGATGGAACTGGAGGGTGTTATGCTGAGCAAAATAAGTCAATCAGAGAAAGACATGTATCATATGACCTCACTGATAGGAGGAATTCTTAATCTCAGGAAAAAAACTGGGGTTGGCGGGAGGGGTGGGGGGGGGGAGGGAGGGGGTGGCTGGGTTATAGACATTGGGGAGGATATGTGCCATGGTGAGCGCTGTGAATTGCGCAAGACTGGTGAATCACAGATCTGTACTTCTGAAACAAATAATGCAACATATGTTAAGAAAAAAGAAAAAGAAGAAGATAGCAGGAGGGGAAGAATGAAGGGGGGGGAATCGGAGGGGGAGACGAACCATGAGAGACGATGGACTCTGAAAAACAAACTGAGGGTTCTAGAGGGGAGGGGGGTGGGGGGATGGGTTAGCCTGGTGATGGGTATTAAAGAGGGAACATTCTGCGTGGAGCACTGGGTGTTATGCATGAACAATGAATCATGGAACACTACATCAAAAACTAGTGATGTAATGTATGGTGATTAACATAACAATAAAAAATTATTTTAAAAAATTCATGGCTTTTTTACCATGATTCATTAGTTTTTCAAAGTTAATTTTTTTAACTTTTTTTTTGAATTTTTCTTTTTCCCTTTTTCAACCAACATCTTATCAATCCCTTTTTTAAAAAAAATTTTTTTATTTTTCATTTGTAGAGTCATATTTTATCCCTTCATAGTAGTTACACTTACTTTTGGCATATATATATATATATAAGTTGTTCTCTCTTTAAAATTTTGAGATACAGTTTCTTCTAACAGATCAAAATATACCCTAAATCACTAGTGTATGGCTTTGTTCTAGTCTCCTGCCAGATCATATTCTCTGCTTTTTTTCTTTCTATTTTTTTTTAAATCTTCTTCTTGCCTTTTTCAAACAACTTCTTTTTTTTTTTAAAGATTTTATTTATTTATTTGAGAGAGAG